GCCTTTCCACCATCTAATTCGAGACCAAAAATCGTCCAAAAATTATCCAACCAAAATGCCTGACGTCACACCTGACGTCACACCTGACGTCACACCTCACCTGGCACGTTGCCTTCGGGAACCCATAAAACAGTTGCCTGGCATTGCCAGAGGCTCACTCCCAAGGCTCCGGCAATTTGTGTGCCAGCGGCTCCGTCAAAAACACGCATCCACTCGCCTAGGGGTGAACAGCCTGCGTCCTATGGCCTCGGTGGCGAACATCCAGATAAATTATGACATTATGTTTCAGGTGGGCGCATTGCATTGGATGCAAAAAGTTCCGCCCGCATCCTTACTGCTTCCAACGACTTCTGGCTTGGAAACATTCGTCGTGGATTAGAGTTGTTCGGCACAGTTTGCTTGTTTGGTTCTGCTTATTCGGTTTGGCTTTGCCTGCCTGCCACCACAGCACGCGACACACAACACGTATGATTGGGCAACCACAGTCTTTAGTGGCTGCACAGTCAATTCGAAAGAGAACCTGCGTGCATGTGCATTAATACAGCCAATTGCTAATTGAAGTCCTTGCCATTTTGTTGTGGTGGGTTCGGTCAATGGATGACTCTATGAATGTGCCCACAACAATGTGATGTTACGGGACCTGAACACCACAAGCGCACGCGCAGATGAAAGGCGAATAGAAGTCATCGCCAATGGGTTTCGGCCGTGGAATGGGATGCAGCTAGCGATCGACACCACGCTTGTCTCACCACTCACAGCACGAACCCAACCCCGTCCTTCATTGAATAGGCCTGTTTAAGCCCCGGACATGGCTACCTCCCAGTTGGACGAGGTTGTGCCTATCCTCGCCACCAACGACACACAGCTGGAACCGCAATCTGTCTGGCACGGCTTGCCAAAGAAAGGACCTACCCGGAGCTGGTGGAAGGACGACGTGCCTGCCTCGTCGTGGTCGCCTTGGAGATCGGGGCTTCGTTTGTTGTCCAGACATAAGACACAACACTTCTTAGAAGAGTGCAAGACTACACAAAAACTACAAGGAACTATCTCAAACAGTCTCCAAAGATCTCGTGCTCTACCAAAAGGTTCTCTAGAGCTATTCCTAGCCACACGTTGCCACTCCACGCTTGGACTTCCCGGTGGGCAGCGCATCTCTCCGCGGCTGCCAGCTCTGGCATGCAGTCTCCTTCACCTTCCTGCCTCCGCAGCCCACAGCATCGAAGGCTCCGAGCCATACCTGGGTGACCCCCTTACATTTCACCCCCACGGCCCATCCTCGCACCTAATACCCATGGGACTTTGCACATCTGGAGACTGGCCAGCACAAAAACAGACAGCAGCCCATGCACAGCTGGAGACTGGTTAGTATAAAAGCAGTCGTGACCTTCTGCGGCAAAAAGGCGCGGAAAAGAAACCGGAGAGATGTTTTGCAGGCCCCACGGCAACACAGTTGACAAACCACGTAAAATAACAGGACTCTTGCCACGCTAGCTCCGAAGTATGGAGGGTGGGGTGACTGGCCTGGCATCAGCTGTCAGTTCATCACATTCCTAGAATATGTGCGAAAACTTTGCAACCATGTCGTTGTGGTGGCCAAGCCCTTGAGTGGCGAACTTTTGCGCTGCACAGGCAGCCTCGGCAAAACAAAAAGACGATGCCTAGTGCTCTCGGCATGGCACCATTCCAACAAACAAAACAAACAACAAAAAACAAAATTTGTACAAGGCCAGCCGCTCCCAATCCTTGGTGGTCTTTCTTGTTTCGCTCCTTCGTCAACGAGGCAGCCGCTACAAAGCGAGCTAACCACCCACAAAACAATGCTGCAAAAACCTCAAGCACGGTATGGTGTTAACCGCATTTTGCAAAACCTTTTCTTTGGAGGTGCACAAATCAATCCGGGCTGCTTAAACACAACACAATATGGAGTCTTTGGTTTGCCAGAGGTGGTGGGATCGTTGATGCTTCAGAAGTCCATTCACCCACCTCATTGTGTTTTGCTTTTCGCCGCAATGTTTTTGCAACGCCTGCTGTAATAGGCCCCATCCCCACAAGAAGACTGTGTGCATACAACTGGTCAGCTGTCTCCGGTAAGTGGATCACATTTGAGGCAACAAATGCACGTTGAACTTTTGACCAGCAGCTGGAACATGAATTGCTGCTAAAGCGCTTGCAGGGAAAACACTTCTGGAGAGATAGAAATAGTATATTTTCACAAAATTTGTCATCCGTTTGCTTTGTGCACATCTGTGTAAATCCGTTCTGCGATTTTGTGTGAATCGCGAGGGGGTTGGCCAATAGCTCGCCGGAAATTGAAGTCATTGGAAAACTGTGTCGATGACCAAGGAGGCATCTGAAAGCCTCAACCAAATCTTTGGAAAGGGCCAAATTCCTAGACCCATGGCAACTTCAGCTTCAACATGGTGATGCAAAAATGTTTGTCAGCAAACTTGATGCAATCTGGCTTGGTCAAATCACTTCACCCGGAACCAGCACAAAGGGAGTTTGCTGGCTTGCTTGGTGGCTTCTGGGGGGTTGCAACTACCTCCACAAAAATTGCAATAAACTATATAAACGTAGCTGGGGCTTTGACAAAGCAATGGGCGATGGAATGCATTGGAGTGAGGTCCAGTCGTGTAGACTTTCATATACCCCCCCACCAGACTGGATTTACATCTGCATGTGGGGGGCCTTGATAATCAACAGTCGTCATGAACATCCTTCAAAACCTGTCGAGGATTTGTTCCAATGGACTCTTCTTTCACATACTTCTTTTGCAGCACTTTTGTGGCTTGCGTTTTGACTGTCGCACACTGCATTCTGTGCAAATTCACTTTCGCAAGCTTTCACGGAGAACATTTTTCGACACGAACCACGGGATGTTTCAGTTATATACATGCACGCCATTCCAAATGTGAGTGCGTGCTGGCATCGGAAATGAGATTAAATCCAAAGGGCGACTCGTTTACAAAGCGACATTTTTCGCGAATCTTTCGCGACCGTGTGGATACTTGTCGCGAAGGCATCTTACAGTCGCTCCATGCGATGGTTAAATCGTTGTTTCTTAGCTAGAATGGCTAAAGTCATCTTGTGCTCAGAAACTCTCAATTGAATCCAATTGATGTGTCAATTCCGGAGTTTGTGCTGGCCAGCGATGACTGTTTGCGTGTTCCTCTTCGCTGAAAACGATTCAATCCAAAGTCGGATGCATCTGCTTGGATCGATGGTTCGTTCGGAGAGAAGCAAAACCAAAAAACAAACAGGCTTTGGAACTTAGTGAGTTGCTCTCTCATTGTTGGAACTTTAGTGAGTCAGTGAGTCAGTGGTTTGGGCCTTGGATGTTTTTGGGCTTCTTCATCGCCCCCGTTTGTGTAGAACACCTTTTCTTCAATGAAACTCCTGTTTGACCCCTGATGCTCATCGAATTGTTTGTAGCTAGGTTGACCTTTCTGTGACTGAGTTTGATGCGAGCTTACCCGGAGCCGCAACAGCAGGAGTTGCTTGACTCCGATTCGCCGCCTGAAAACATTTAGATTTCACATGAGCGATAGCCAAGACCTATTGCGTATGTGTTTCGTCACGGTCGCTGTATCATCGCTTTCCATGTCCATCTCGTAACTGTTTGTTGATGAGGGTGTTATTGGTTGTGGAGAAGCACAACGGGTGAAGTGAGAGCCAACGACCGCCGACTGACCACCTATTACTTTCAATAGTCTTGACCCTAGCCCTAGCTCGCACGGTCTCAAAGGCAAATGACTCAAATGGCTCAAGAAAAACATGTCCCGTGCTAACCCAGGTGTTTCTGATGCTATTGGGACCCAAATCTCACTTCAAAAGACCAGTGCGAATTTCACCAGTGCCCAACACTAGCATGGTCACATCTCAAAAAGCCTTGATTTTGCACATGTCGTGATGTCGTGACTTTCTTTTTGTGGCAGTCTTTCTGTCCCCGTCCCCCGAAGCAGGGTCGCATTGTGCAGCATGGGTGTTTCACGGCTTCCAGTTGATGGTTGGAACTGCAGACATAGGGCTCAGCTACAGATTGTGCGTTGGCCCCAAAATGGGGGACCGCGCGGCTCTCAACCTCATTTTGTGACCAGTTTTGGTGGAACAGTGGAAAAGAACATGTTTTCCAAACCGGCATGTGTCGCCCAGGCAGCCGCAGCCGCGATAGGGGGAAGGCCATCACTAGAACTAGAACGTGCTGGGATATTTTTTGCGACAACAGTGTAGGTTCTTTCAACATGTTGTGTTTACCTTGCGTTTCTTGCAACAAAACTTCAGCCACTGCCGTTGGTTGGTGAAAGCGCCACGCCAGGATAGCCGCAGTCGCTCCCGAAGAAAGGACAGTAGAAGCCGCAGCAAGTCACAGGCAGGTTGACTCCTTCGGGGGGTTCGTTCCCCAAAAGTGAGCCTACAAGGTGCTTGGTGCGTGAGCCGCTTCCCTGTTTTTCATGGCTCGCGCAAGCAACAGATGCCGTGGTTCATGAGGAACGTGACACTATATATATATATACACATACATACAAAAATATATAGTTTTTTGTTCTTCATCGAATCCTTGTAAAAATGCCTGTCGTGCTCTAAATGCGAAGGGGAACCAAAACATGTCCGAACTCCGGTTGACGCAGGGAAAAACCAAAAGACCGGATGATTATGGAGCCCGGACCTTTCGGACCTGTATTCCGAGAGAGTTCTACTTTGTAAAGCAATTTCTGCTGAACTGTGAATACATCTACACACTTTGGCGAGAGCATCTCAAGATGGGCTGAGGTCGATTCCATGAAAATCACCGATGATGATGCAGCCTTTATCCTGGGCAAGGGCGGCAAGACCAAAGCCGGCAACTCAATGTCCAACTCGGTGAAGTTGAGGGTTCGCTGCCAATGTGGATGATGTTCAGTTGAGGGGTGTACTGTTGGTGGGGCAACTATTATGGGGCCGATCATGCTTGAAAATAACAACTTGTTCAGATAGGTTCTGACTTTATTTGGGAGGTGGTGGTGCTGAATTTGGCCACTTTGTGGCACAATTCTGCTCCAAAACCATCCAAATCCCAACATTCACCGTTTCGCTTTCAGAACTTCCTTTGGCTGAATCTGTTTGAAAGGAGAAAATCGCCAGAGTTTCTGGCGCGGAAATTGTTCCTCGGCTGAAAGCTTGCAAGGGCTACTGGGTGGTGATGTTTGTGGGCTGACTTCTGTAGCGAACATGACAAACCAGCCAGCAAACTTGACTTGCTCACCACTACTGCTCCCCGACTTCGGCATTGTTGTTTGTGCCATCAGTACCTGAAACCAAGCCCATGCCCGATCAGGCCCAACTAAGAAGACTGTTTGTGAATGATCAGTGGTGATCAACATGTATGAAGAAACAGGTGCACGCACTTTGCAGACTTCCAGATGCCCCAATTGAACCTTGTGGACCAAACGCCGTCTCCATCGGACCCAAGGAGCTCTTTGAGCGAGACCTCGTCTTGGAAATCCGTGGCTCCAAGTTGCAGCGCCGCCGCGCCAAAAAGTACGCGGAAGGCGCAGAGTCGGAGCGGGAACAGCGCGGTAGAACATGGGGAGAACGTGGTGTGGACGGGAACTCTCAGAACTTCATCAGGCTTTTGGAAGTTGGTGATGTTCGTGCTTGGTCTGGAACAGTTCCAAGGGTTTTGCTAGCTCCACTGCTCGGAAAGTCAAGACAGCCTTTTCGGAATGCTGAGAAATTCTTTGCGGGTCATTCCTGCTGCTTTACCATTCGCCACCTTTCATTGCCTTGGCTTGTGCACCGATAGCGCACACTTCTCCACAGAGATGTCCAAATCGAGGAAATCCAAGAGAAGACAAGAACAATCAACCCTAGAAGTGCAAGTGCCTCAAGCGCCAACAAAACAAACAGTTTCTTGTCAGTCGGATTTCGGGCTCCAGAAAAACCTGTTTCAACCCGTACGGCTCTGGAGGCGTGATGGCACAACGGACCGGGTCTGGCCCTTGAGATCGACGGACTCCCGGCCCTTCGTGTTCGTCCGATCCGACGGCGCACGACCCTCAGGCCGGTCACCGTCCACGAGGACTACAACGACGGCGACTTGACGATGCTCCGGGTGAGCCCAAAAGCGGCGCGTGGGCGAGCGGCCGGGACCACTCACACGACCCACACGAGAAGCGGGTTCCATGCGGTGTTCATGGGCGAAGAAGCACAGCGAATGACCAGCTATACTAAGTTCATCTCAGATTCCAACAATCTAGCGGAGAAGAGCACGGCATAGCACGGCCAGAACTTCCAGAATATCGAAGCAAGGATCTATTAATTATTACCCTGTTCTTGGCCAGGTGCCACAGGAGGCAGTTGGTTTCGTCACTGGCCGAGCACCATGGTTGCAAAAGCCTGACCGGTGGGAGGGTCCATGTTTGTTGTTGCCTCGATGCCGCAGGAGTTCCCTGCAGGATCCCGCTACCGAGGCAGGCAACTTCCTGCGGACCATTGAAGAAGAGTGGGGAACGCTCATGCGCCGCCCTCAGATGCGTTTCTTTCTCGTTGAGGCCTGCTCCCCAGCGTCCAAGGCATCCTGCCTGTCATTTTCCTCATCCCATTTTTGAATTTCCTCTCAGATATGCATCCCACACCTCTCATCGATGCGTGGGCAACCGGCTGTGTCCAGGTTCTTTGTGGAGGTGGAGAGCTCACGCTCTCGCAGCAAGGCGGGACTCCAGATGCGGTGCTTCGTTTTCTCTCATCGATTTTTGTGATCGGATGGGCAGCGGCCTGAGCTGGCATTTGCGCCAATCACGATCGATCGATCCATTTATGCACAAATCCTCTGAACTGGGCCCGCCAACTTGGGGCAGGAATATGAGAAGTTGGCCATTTTTGGTGACGTGCGTGCGCGCCGTGGTGCAGAGCTCAAGGCTGGTACTCGCAGTTGTTGTTTTTTGGATGTTGGACTGGCCTACCCAATTCCTCATTCATTGTACGTGAAGGACCTCACTGATTGATGGAAGAGTGCATCCGAATCCCCTACACGAAGTCGTGTTGTGTTGATCCGCTTTTATCCCAGCTTGAAACCATAGTAGCTAGAAGCTACTAGGTGGAGGCCATTGCTATTAGGTTGGAGGCCATGGCCACTAGCAATAGTAACAAGAAGCTACTGGGGAAGCTACCCTCAAAAAAGTTTGTTGAGACTTTGTCACCTTGTCGGTCGGGTGCCAGTCAATCATTCGCCGGGTGGGTTCCGATGGAGGTGTTGAGCGCGGTTGAGACCAAAGTCCCTGGATACTTCGACAAGATCCGTGATGATGCGCGGGCACCGAAGCATCAAATACCTGAAAAGAGTGAATGATTGAGATGCCATGGGTTGCCATGGTGTTGTACTATGCAAAAACGATTAGTTTTGTAATGTTTCTCGAGGTCATCGAGTCCGAAAAAGGTCCCTTCCACTTTTGGGACTTGCGATGCATCATGGACTTGTGAGGTCATTCCTCGCGACAAAGGCACGGATTATGAAGATGGTAGCTGGGGTACCGAATCCAAGCTGCATTCAGACACGTGTTTTTAGCCAGCACAGACAAATTGAAGTGGGTTGAGGAGCTGTATGCACTCTGCAATGCTAGGGCCAGTTGGGAACCGTGTCGTTCTCAAGTTGTCATTCACCCGTTGACTGACCGGGCCCCACAATGAGATCACATCCGCAGTAGCTCATGTGGTAAAATAATGCTGCATGACCAGCTGAGTGCTTGTTGCCCAGGACACGATGCAATTTCAAGATGACGAGTTGTCATATGCGCTAGGGAAGCAGGCGAGCAGAACTGAGCAGCAGAACTGAGCTTTGCACCAGTATTGCCCCGACTTGCACAGAATAGTGCTACTCAACGTGAAGCTTCAGAAGTCATCAGGGTGGCACCCGAAAGAAGATCGAGCGATCTTCTGGAGCCATCGTCCAGTATGTAGGGCAGGCGCCCGTGGGTTTGGGATGTCAGTGGCCAAGCAAGGAGGGACGCAGGGAAGGAGCACCTTCATGGAGTGGATCAAGCTTAGATGGATGCGAGACGTCAAGAACATGAGAACTTTGGCGCAACTCTTGGCTTTCAGAGCACGGGTTGCTTACCTGGACTCTGGACTCTGCACCGCAATAATTTGACTTTGTTTGGCCAAACCTCGTGGGAATTGAAGGTTCTCTCTCTCTCTCTCTCTCCATATATATATACACTGTATATAGTTGCAGATATTGTATGATATGTTCTGCTTTTCTTCTCTTCTCCATGCAGTGCTCTGCACTGATGCTCAGATCCTAATACCTTAGCAAATCCTTGGCGCCATGGCTATGTGCAGTATGTCCAAAAGAAGAGCTCCAAGTCACCGTGCCGGGCATTTGCTGCTTGTAATATTGGGAGCCTGGCTTTGGAGATGGCGAACTGAGGGGACAGGTCATGCTGGACTCCTCATTGTCCTTGTGCCTGGTCGCCAGCCGAAGGACTTTGTCAAGGTCCTTAGGTCACTGGAAGATGACCCAACAAGACGAGAGAGGAGTTTGGATGTTTTGAATACCTGGGTCAATCAGTCCGCGGCGCCGAACTTTTTGCTTCAGTGCATGGAGGAGCAGAACAGCTTAACCAAGACAAGTTGCAGGTAAAATGCCTGTCCCTGTGTGTTTGCGACCATGATTCTTGAATGGGGGAAGCCTCAACACAATCGTTTTTGGAGTGGTGAAAGAGAACTGACCCAAATTAACAAGGGGAACAACCCAGGTTGTGACAGAAAGCACTGGTTGTGCAAAGAAAACATCCTGCTTTCCAGGAGATCTCCGACTTGCTTGCACCTGAGCGGTCCTTGGCCGGTTTAACGGCTGGCCTTTTGGTGGAGTTTCGGCCCAGGTGGCCCAGGTCAAGCCCCAAGCTCCGGCAAAAGGTGCTAACGATTTCCCTGAAGCTCTGGAAGCAGGAGACTTGCAAAGCAACTGCCATTCGCTTACTGGAGTGGTTCAAGGTCACTGAGGCGGATGTCTCCAACACGACCCAGCGTTTGGCTCTGGGCGCGGTGTGTGGTGAGCTCCAGACGAATGGGTCGGATGGTGAGCATTTGGTCCTCATGCTGACCCGATTCCCAGAGATCGCCCGTGGCTCGGGGGTCACCGCGGAGCGCGTCATCGACGGCATGGCCCAGCGAGGGTACCTGAAGCCGGCGATCCTTGTAGCTGAGCGGATGAACGTGACCAACAAAATCAGGCAACTGAAAGGTCGCTTGATGGATGCTTGCGTGAAGGGAGAGGGCAAGGCAGGGGTCCTTTGCTCTGAGGTTTGCAGAGTTCAGAGATGTTCAGAGTGTGGATTGAATGGGGCGCCACTCCCAAGAACCGTCTTAGGGGTGCAACCACCAAGGCGCAATGCAAATGAAAGTGTGTGCGAACACCGCGAAAAAGCAAAAGCGAAAAGCACTGCTTTCAAGCTTGCCAACATCGATGTCTAGTGTGCAAAAGCGGCGGCGTCCACAACCAACGTTCAAGCAGCAAGGAAAGCGGTCAACGTCCACTGTCATGCATTCTTCACATCAAAGAAAATGAGTGTTTCCTTGCTGCTTTGCTCGAACCATGCGCTGCTTGTGCCTCTCCCTTTAGCACGTCTAGCTTCCTCCACCTGGTCCTCCTTTGTCTCCACCAAGCAAAGCTTTCCAGTTTGTCGGAACTGCTTCAAAAGCTCGGTGGACATATCCTTTGTCAAAGGATCTGCCACCTGTTTCCAGGTGGGGACCCAACGAAGCCGCAACACCTGGTCCTCCACGAGGCACTTCACCATCAACATGTCGAGTGCTGCCTGCTTCTCGCAGGCCATACTGCCAGTTTTACTCACATGGTCGTTGAGACCTTTGGCATTTGTGATGATGATGCCTCCACTGTGGCGTGACCACCTCTTGCCAATGAAAGAGGGCTCCAAACAAAGCTCGGTTGTAGAGGATCTTGTCAGCCGCGGAGGTCATGGCGCAGCTCTCAGCTGCAAGACTCGAGCGCACCACACGGTGCACTTTGCTGCTGTGGAACTCCAGCAGGACGGCCTTGGTGGGCTTTTTCTCCACATCCACCTCCGTCAGGAAGTGGACTTCAGCTTGTTGGGCCGTCATGGCCTCACTCTTTCCAAGGCTGGCGTCGAAATACGACACGAACAAAGCTTCTCCTGGCACTGCATGGAGCATGTTCACTGCTCCACCCTCCGCTGCAGCCTTCTTCATAGCCACTAGCAACTGGTTGGCGTTGCTCAAGTCCTCACGACTGCCGTTGCGACCTTCTGTGCCAAGGCGCTCGCTCGATACAAGAACTCCGGCATGGTCAAGTGGGCCGGCCAGCGCAGTTGCATAATGAGGCGCCTATAGGCTGACAGCTGGTCACCTGCCAGTCGGTCTGCCTTCCCAGTCTTCACTTCGGCCGGCTGGATCTTTTCCACATACTCAGCCATGTTGTCCTTGAAGCACTGGCCTTCCTTGGTGGTCCTGACTCCCAGGAAGGTGATTGGTTTGTCACCCATGTTCTGCCATTCCTTTATGTTGAACTTGGAGCTGATTTCCTTCTGGGCAGCTACCATCCGTTCTGGGGCGGTGGCAAAGAGACCATCATCAACATGGAGACACAAGATGGCAATCACTTCAGTGCCCTCCTTCTTGATGAATGTTGCTCTGCATAGATCCAGCTCGAGGTAGCCGATCTCTTCCAAAAGCTCTTTGGCTTTGAGATACCAAAGCCTTGGTGCGTCTGAGAGCCCATATGCAGACTTGCACAACATCAAAACTTCGAAGGGTCGGACTGGTGGCTCATCTCTGACAGCTGGCAACCCTTCAGGTGGCGCCTTGATGACCACTGGCTTCCCTGAAAGGAACGCTGTGCTCACATCAAAGCATGAGGCCGCCCACTTCTTCGTTAGGGCTATGATTTTGGTCACCTGGACTGCTGACCATGTGGTGGTCGGTGCATCTGACCTGTAGGAGCCGAGGTGGGGATCTTGATGTCCTGGAACCACCAGTCTCGACTTCGCTTGGAACCCGCCATGCAGCGCAGCTTTATTGACTCGGATGAGCCAAGCTGGTGCCCTGAAAATGTTATCAGGGTTCAAGTCCTTGATTTCCTCATCACTAAGTCTTCGGACCACCCGGTTGTCAATCCATGAGGTCCATTCTTTGGCATCGCTTTCATCGAAGGCTGCCTTTTCTTCAGCGTTGAAGTGTCGAGAATCGAGCTCCTTTCCATTTTGCTTGTTGACCAGCAAGTAGGCTTCGTGAAATGTCTGCTGATCTTCTTCCTCTCTTCGCAGCCTCATCCACTCTTCTACATCTTCAACTTGCACTTCATAGATGCCAGTTGGCAACTCCACCAGCACCTTTCCTTCTTTTGGCTTCCTTTTCTGCTCCCTGACAAAGAAGGCCTTGTCCTCACTTCCTCTTCATCCTCCTGACAGACCAAAGCTGCTCCAAACATCAGGGTGATGCGGCCTCTCTCGGTCTTGGTGGGCTTTGAAACCTCTTCCGTGGTGCGATATGGTATCGCATACTTGTGATGGGCAGGTCCAAGAGGTCAGCGATCTTCTTCACCTCTTGTTTGGATGCCCATTCATTGGATTTTGTTTTTTCTGCCACTAGGCTGAGCATGGTGCAGTGCATCACCTCTGGTGTGAACCTTTGTTGAAGTCCGGCTTCTGTCAGTCCACTCTTCACTTCATCTGTCCTTCGCTGCTTCATACTGAAGGGGGCATCATCTTGGAGGTGCTCTCTTAGCCTTTTCTTGAATCCTTCACTATCTTCAGCACCCAAAACCTTTGTCACCGCTTCTTTGAGATGCTATTCAGTCATCTTCATCTGTTCATTCTTCTCTTCCTTTTCTTCGATTACACTTTTTTCTTCTATGGGCACTATCTTCTCCTCGGGCTTCTTCTTGTCTTCTTTCTTTTCCTTCCTCACTTCTATATACATACCAAATAATTGACTCTTCCTTTATGCCCTTTCTCCTTCTTGATCGTCTTCTGAACTTTCCTCAAGCCTTTTAAGCATTTGGCAATCTCTTTTGCCCTGGCTTTACTCCATCCTCCTGTCTTTTGCACTATGACTTCTTCCTGCGGCTGCCAACCGATCACTTCTTCCTTTTGACCTTCTTCCGGAGGTGGAGGGACTTGTGTCATGTCTTCTAACTCTTTGTTTGCAGGCCACTTGTCTTGCAAGTTGTCCAACTCTTCCATTCGGCCCTGAAAATCACATCCTTCTAGCTCAGAGCATGGACGGAGGTTGGGTGCGGCCACCAGCAAGCATCGCCCAGCTTCTCTTCGAAAACGTTTGGCTGTGGGCTGAGGGACATAGAAAAAGACCATTTCACCTGGTGTGAAATCTTTCATTGATCCACGGGGCCACCTCCTGAGAGCTCGTTTCAGCTTGTCTTGACAATCTTGCCTCATCAACGAAATCTTTGCTGCCGCTCTCATTTCTGCACTTCGAACCTCACCTTCAGTGCTGAGTGACTCCCTCAAGGCCATGTTGCCGGTGCTGTCCTCTTCCAAGAGATCTGGAAACAAGGGTGCTCTTCCGAAGACCATTTGATAGGGGGTGAGCCCTCCCCTGGTGATGGTCTGATTCTTGGCCTGGATGGCACATGCAAGGGCCTCCTTCATCTCTGAGCGTCCCTTGGCTTTGAACTGCCAGATGATGGCATGCCAGGCATGTCCGAGAAGACCTCCATGACACTCTGAGAATCCATGCTGCCACCCTGCCCTAGCTCCGGTGCACCTGGAGTGAATGCCGTGCATTTCCAGCCAACTGAAAGCACCATCAAATTCGCATCCTTGGTCAATGTATACGGTGGCTGGTGTGCCATACATGGAACACCAATGTCGAAGGAATATCTTGGCCACATAGTCAACCTTGCGATGCCACCATCAACCAAGCTCAAAGTGACATGGAGCTTGTTGGCTGCATCGTGCATGTACTTGAGGTCCAAAATGCACATCTTTGGCAAAAACAGAGGTCCGAGTGACTGGATTGATCTTCGGATACCTGGAGGGTGCACTGACTTGTGCACAAATGGGGGGCAATCATAACGCCCTGCCAGGTCGATCATCTCCTTTGGTGCTCCAGCAAGAGTCAACATCCTCACGATGTCCAGGACGTTGGGGAATCTTGGGCACTTTCCATCCTCTTGCTCCTTTCTTCATCTCTTCTTCTTCAATTTCTTCATGGGGCTCTTTCTGTTCTTCGTGTTCTTCTTCTTCTTCTTCCAGAATTTGTTCTTCGGCCATCTCACCTCCTTCTACCATCACTTCTCTTTGCTTCCGCTTCTTCTTCAGGAATTGTTCTGCCCCCAAGGCCACCTCTTTGGCAGAATTGGTGTTATAGCCTCCAGCATACTCAGACAGCGGCATCCAAGCTCCATGGATCTTGACACCTCCAACGCGGGGTGTGTTCATGGCTCTTGTCACAAAGCTTCTCACACCTTTTGGTGATCTCCTCTGTACCTCGGAGCCGCGTTCTCTTCCGAAGGTGAGGACCATCTGGTACTCGAAGGCCGAACATACACGTGTCACAGACGGCCATGGAGGTGCCACTGAAGGCTTCTTTAATGAGAGGTTCCTTCCATGCGACGGTCTAGGGTTCTCACCCAGAAGTGCACCTCCTCTTTTCCTTTGGGCCAGGCTTGCATCCCTCACGAACCTCAACAACATCCTGTTTTCTTCACGTTTTTGCACAAGCTTGGCGGCTCTTTGGAAGGGCGTCTTCTGACCAAGTGTTTGGAGTGGGCCCCATGGCCCAGATGGCCATGCCAAAACAAGCAAGTCTGGATCCACCCGGTCAATGTAGGCCAAGGCTTCTTCATAGTCTTTCTCTTTCATCAGGTCCCACCTTGGCAAAGTCACTGGATCATGGAACTGCCAGTGACGAGCGGCCGCAACCAGGGAAATCGTACAAGTCCATGTGAAGACTTCCAACACTGGCCATCTGCTGCGTGTTGGCCGGACTTTCCTTTGAAGAAACACTTCCTTCACTGGTGCTTCTTCTTCCTTTTCTTCCTGGAAGGCCACTCCAATCTCGTGCATGTGATGTCCCAACTTCCTCTTGAGGTGCATATTCATTTTCTTCTTTGGACCTTGCACTTCCCTCCCTTTCTTTGGCATCCTCTTCATGGGCCTCTTCCTCTGAGCTTGAGATGGGTTCGACCCCCGCCTCATGTGATGATGAGGAAGCATCATCTGGCTCAGTGGATGCACTCTCTTCCTCCTCCGTGGCCACCTCGTCAATGATCTTAACGCCCAAATCTTCTTGCAGCTTGTCCATCCATGCTTGCATCCTCCTCTCACGGAATGGCACTTCTCCTTCTTCTTCTTCCGTTTGTTCTTCTTCGGTCTCCTCAGACTCTGTCTGGCCATCACCTGCCACAAAGGAAAGGGACTGAGGATTTTCCTTCAACACTTTCTGTCTTTCTTTGCTCACCTTCCTTTGACTTCCAAAATTGCCGGGCTTCACTTCTTCTTTTCCATAGTCCAGTGAGCACCATAGGTCGGCTGCTTCCATGCAATTCCAACTCCTTCTCATCGAAAGGGAAGACAAGTCCTGGGCAGTTGAGAGCTTCTCCTTGCACGATGGACATGCGCAAAATGTCTCACTGTCCATGAATGAGAACAGGGTAAAGGCATGCCTTCTGGCTGACGACTGGAGCTCCTGCACCAAAACGGTATACTTCATGTTCATCAACTTCACTTCATGGGACTTTCAAGTCTTTGAGGGCGTGCCGGAAGGCTTGATGCCATAGCAGGCCACCGACAGCATTCCGACAACCTGAGTCTGCCATGGCCAGCCCAGGGGTCTGCAAATGTGGCGGCATCTTCTTCTTGTCCAGATTGTAGATCTGCACTTGAGTCGGCTCAACATACCAGAACTCCGTGATCAACTGGGCATGCCAAGCTCCCAACGGCTCTTGTAGTCCCACTTCTTCACCGGTGTAGTCATCGGTGCCAATCCTTCTGGGCGTTCATGCGCCAAGGGCACCATGAGAGCTCCATGTTTTGAAGTCCAATAGATGACACTCTTCATGTCACAGTCCTTGCACTTTGCATAGTGTCCATCTTGGTTGCCGCTCCACCTCGGGATTCAAAGGGATGACGACACTGAGCTTGCTTTTCAGTTGGAGTCGGTGCCGCTTGTGAAGGCTTCAAGCATCCACCCTTGACCTGCTGGTCATACAAAGATTGCCGAAGCGTGCGAAGTTCTTGATCACGAAGAGGCTTGGGCGGCGAATCATCCTTCCTTGGTGGAGTAATTCTTGGCGGCGTGATAGGTCCCTGGCTTGCTGATGCTGCTTCTGCCCTTTCTCTTCTTGCCGGCTCTTCGAACTCCCAGTTCCACTTCTTATCGCTGCCAAACTCTGGACAGTACTCTTCCATGGTCTTTTGGCACATCTTCAATCTTCGCAGCTCTTCAAAGGCTGTCTGATCTTCTTCCTCCCTGCAGCCTTTTTTCTCTTCTTTTGACATGCTAGGCAGTGCAGCAAGAACTTCCTCTGCATTTTGACGGATCCACACCCCTTCGAGCCGCTTCCGGGGTTCATAGCTGCAGCTGCAATCGCAGTACTTCTGGGCACTTCAAAGCTGAATGGTGGAGCAGGAACTGGCGGCTCCACCACATCCCACAACTCACTTTCTTCTTTTACCTCCTCCTTCATTCTCTTGTGAGTTGACATTCGGGCTTCCATGGGCTGCGTGGCTCCGCACTGACCACAAAACTTCTGTCCTTCTGGAACAGGCCATCTGCATGGGCGGCAATGTCCAATGGGTGGAGCCTCATCTTCATAGCCATAGCCTCCTCCCGTCATGAAGGTGAAGTGGACGGTCTGTGCTACCTTCTTGGCTCCGGACGATGGGACATGAGGCTGATCTCTTCCGCTCATGACATTGGGGCAACAAGAATCCCCCTTCCATTCAACTCCTCAGTCTCTAACATCTTCTTCACCATCCTCCACTTCTTCTTCATCGCCTGGCTCAAATTCATCTTCAAAGAGGACCTCCATGGCCTCCTCATCTTCTTCTGCTCCAGGCTCTTCAAAGTCTTCTTCTCCGAACTCTCCTTCTGGCTCAGCGACATGAGTGCCGTTGCTTCTTGACAATCACCTTCTTCTTGAAGAAGTGCTGGCCTTTCGGTCGATGTCCTGGGGGCTTGTCGTCCGTGTACTTGTAGCTGCTTCTCTTTTCATCTTCATGAATGCGGCCACATCTCACACTGAGTGCTTTCTCAATGGCCGCACTGTGGAAACAAGCTCCTGCAGCATAGTACACGTCATGCCGTTCCCTGCGGGATAGTGAGGCTCTTTGCAACAGCTTCTGACCCCATGCCATGTCGGAGATCTTGGATTCCGGGTCAACTCTGCTATATTGAGCACGCAACCTCTGCATCTCAGACAGGCATAAAGGTGCTGCTGGGCTTGAATGGTGTGCTTCCATTTGAGGTATCGGGTCCTGTCTCCATAGAACTCTTCCACCTTCACAGAGCCCAATGAGCTCTTTGGGTGGTACCCGTCCTCTTGGCGCAGCCTCCGCTTCAGCATTGACTTGATGTCGGAGGTCGCTGCTGAGGAAGACTTCTGTGATGCATCATCGTCGGGGTCCTCTGGCTCTGACCCCATTGGATCACCTCCCGGTGCATTGGATGGAACCTTAGTGGCTTCTTTCTTCTTCGACGGCTTTGGTGCAGGATCTGATCCAGTGGGCTTGGACCAGGAACCATTCGAACTGGTAGCAGCTGGTGTGCCTGTCACTGGCTGTCCTTGCAGCCATGCAAAATCTGGCATCACCCACGGCTGTGCTCCTGGAAAACAAGGGATGAGTGGCACCTGTGGTGTCAAGCCAGGTGGTCCACCGTGTGGCATAGGCGGCATGGATGCCACTGGAGCTGTCGGTGGTACAGACCCTTGTGCAGTCTGTCCCAAAAAGCCAAACCCTGGTCCATAGATGGATGGATGACCCCATGGTGGTGCGATCGTATCTCCGTGCTCTGCTGGCATGGGTGTGGGTGCAGTCCATGGTGGTGGTGACATGTTGCATGGAACGCTGCTTTGTGAAGGAAAGGTTGCATCGACTGCCATTGGTGCTGTTTGTGAACTCCCTCCCTTCTCTTCCCCACCTTTCCCTTTTCCTTTCTGTCTCTGACGCTCTGGGTCTACGAAGCTTCCAGCAGTATGCACAGAATCCTTTTCTGTGCCCTTGCCCAGCTCCGATCCTTTTGCATTCAGAGGCACACCACTCCAGGGATCACCCCTTGTTGCCATGGATCCTCAGGTGGTAGAGGAACGGCTGCACCATCCAGCTGCTCTGCACCATCAGCTGCCGCAGGCAGCACAGGCGGCGAAGTTGCATCCGCCGCTGCTCCATGGGCCGGCTCGGCCATGGCTCTCGCAAGAGGGCGAGGTGAAGGTTGTATCCCCCAAACCTACTGCCCCTCAGGGCTCTGCTACCAATGTGGATTGAATGGGGCGCCACCCCCAAGAACCGTCTTCGGGGTGCAACCACAAAAGACCGCAGTGCAAATGAAAGTGTGTGCGAACACCGCGAAAAAGCAAAAACAAAAAGCACTGTTTTCAAGCTTGCCAACATCGATGTCTAGTGTGCAAAAGCGGCGGCGTCCACAACCAACGTTCAAGCAGCAAGGAAAGCGGTCAACGTCCACTGTCATGCATTCTTCACACAGAGTTCAGAGTTCGACTCGTCAGACCTGGGAAAGTCGGGCCTTAACAATATGTTTTGAAGTGGCTGTAGTTCACTCGAAAGCCAAGAACCAAACAGAATGCCAAAGAGCCATGCATGCAAGCCAATGTTCAACATAAGCCCAGCAGCTTTGAGCTGCAACAATTCCTTATGGCTGATGACTGATGCAATTCCCTGGCCCGAAGAACAAGGAGGCACAAATGGACAGATTCGCTACTAAACCCATGACACCGGGTCGGTGTTTGCTGCTAATTTTCCTGTAGTATGTTCCAATATGCCCTTCTTGCCAGGAGATCGGTGCAATCATAGCCTGTGACAATTCTCCGAGGAAACGCGTGCCCTTCGTGAAAAAGCTTCTGAAGGCAGGGAAATTGAGACTGGCTTTGGAGCGCATCGATGCCTGGAACTTGGATATAGTGCCGAGCGAAAAGGACGTGCTCCGGAGTGAAAGGCCTGGCCGGAAGGGGCAGCTGCTTAGATGGAAAGAATCTAGAAGTAAAAGGAGTTCGGCTTTGATTTCATGTGGAAGAAGCACGCGCGCGCGCGCCCACACACACACACACACACTCGGGACATTGCGTACTGAGTTGAATGCGGTTTGCCACACGCCGACCTAGGTATGAAACCTGAGAATCCAAGGGGTATAAAACCTGAAAGTATCAATCGGAGAGGCGCCTGACGGAAACAAAAGCTCTAAGTCTTCCAAGTTCCAAATCTTCTAAGATCAACAGGTCAAGAGAGCAAGTCAGCCGAGCTCCCTAGCACTTTACATCGACCCGTCGTACCTGAAGCAGCCTGGCCTAAGCAGGGGAGAACCATGGGAGTCAGTGTGCTCTTGAGACTAGCTTCGTTGGCCAGCGTCGTGATGACATGTGCTGGCCCCTTGCTCAAAAGAAAAACAATCTACCAAAGGGTAGCCTGGTAGCCTCTGAATCCAAATTGAATCCAAGGTGTGTGCGCACACACGCACGCACACACACACACACACTCATGGATATGCGTACTGACTTGATTGCGGTGCCACACGCCGGCCTAAGAGACCCAAATCCTGAAAAACCAGGTGAAGGGGACCAGAGTTCCTGTAGTTAAAGGCCACGAACCGACGAGGCGACAGGTTGACGGCGTTCCGTGCATGTCTGCAGCTATTGAGGTCCTGGGCTTAGCCTCATGCCATTCAGTACAAGGAAAAAGCAGGTACGTGAGTCAGGCGTCCCTGACAGGAAATCCATGGTGTCTTCGTTGGATGCCGACCATGGAAATCCCCGGCATCCCCCTGCGATAAAACAAAAAAATAAATGCAAAAGCATCCCTATGATTCCAAGGGTTACACACACACGCCTCCCCGAGGGGAGGCATCTCTGCCCTAGAGCATTGTTGCGCCTAGTAGTAAGGCCAGGAACCCCTAGAAGCACCAAAGTAGCGTCCTAGTAGAAAGGCCAGGAGCCCCTAGTAGCAACCCACACTAAGGTCCCGACGGGAGGAAGGGGTAGGGAGAGAAGAGAAAAAGAAAGAGAAGAAAGAAAAGGGGAAGAAGGTGTTCCCAGCTACGACACAAGCGTCCAGGGACACACCAAAGGAAGAAAGGAAAAGGGTTCCCAGCTATGACGAAAGCATCCAGGGACACCCAAGGAAGAGGGAAAAGAGAGGAAAGAGAGAAGGAAAGAAAGAGAGAGAGGGAGAGAGAGGGAGAGGAGAGAAAGGAAGGTGTTCCCAGCTACAAACAATCGTCCAGGGACACACCAAAGAAAGAGAGGGGAGATCCTGAGTATTCCATTCAGGAACACCCCAGAAAGCAAAGAAAGAAAGGGGAAGGGAAGGGGGAGGAGGGGGGGACTAAGCTCGCGACAGGTTCCAATGAACCTCAAAATACTTTGACCGCTCTGGTCACCTTGTGCCCTGCCGAAATGGCTGGCTGCTTTGACCGCTGCGGTCACGTAAAGGCATGAGCCAACTTGGAATTCCAAAGATGGGACAAAAATCATCGGACGTACGGCCTAGGCCACCTACGCTCGCTGCGAGCTGCTCTGTATCCGGGCAATGGATACTGTCGACATACACCCGTTCGACGGGTCCACGGGAGGCACTCTGCGGGCTCATCCCGGGTTGGCGCGAAGCCAAACACACTCATGGATATGCGTACTGACTTGATTGCGGTGCCACACGCCGGCCTAAGAGACCCAAATCCTGAAAAACCAGGTGAAGGGGACCAGAGTTCCTGTAGTTAAAGGCCACGAACCGACGAGGCGACAGGTTGACGGCGTTCCGTGCATGTCTGCAGCTATTGAGGTCCTGGGCTTAGCCTCATGCCATTCAGTACAAGGAAAAAGCAGGTACGTGAGTCAGGCGTCCCTGACAGGAAATCCATGGTGTCTTCGTTGGATGCCGACCATGGAAATCCCCGGCATCCCCCTGCGATAAAACAAAAAAATAAATGCAAAAACATCCCTATGACTCCAAGGGTTACACACACTTCGAACTTGGGTTTTTTCAGTTAACTCAATTTCCAGGAAA